CACTGCCTTCCAGTGTATGTAGCAGCCTAGCACTTGGGTAGTGGGCAATTGTGATCTCTGGGTATAAAGTATGGAAACCATAGAGATATTCTCCCAGATGCGAGCTGCCACCTTCCAAGGCAGAGGAGAAAGGAGATTAAGTAGGGTGGAGATACAAGAGTTTTTCTGCCTGTGATTTTCCTGCTGCTGGGGCAGACGTTGGGGAGGGATGCTAGCTCATGGCTGTCAAGAGAAGCAGAATGCTATGTAGGAGCAGAAGGTGAATGTTTATTTTGTATTTCTACTTTGATTAGAGAGAATATTTGATAAAAAGCAGTTCCCCCGCTTCCCCTAGGGTGAGGCTGCTAAACTGAAGGGTAGGCTACAAGTGAGCATCACATCCACAACAGGAAAATGTATCACCCTTCAAGAACTTGATTGCTTCTCATGCACACAAACATACTTGAAAATAGCCCAAAAGAGGTTCCCTCCCTCCCACATGGAAGCAGCTGCAGAGAAATCTCAGCTTAATATTGACACCTCTAGGCTGGAGAGTACCCGATTTGCCTCCATTACATCTGTAGTTTGGAATAAAAAGATGCATGATGTGACAGGAGGGGGAATGGGCAACAATGAAGAAGGTGAACAGTGCCTTGTCCTAATTTCTAAAAGTCTCCGAAGACAAGAGGGATAGAGGGCTGCCGCAACAGATTGCCTAATGCTTCCGTTCTTTACCAGCCACAGTTAAAAGGAGGAAAAGCCTATAAGGAGGCTGAAATGTACCATGTAGCTTCTTTTCTGCTATTGTCTGCAAATCCTCGTGCTCCAAAGCATTTTCCTTGAGAGTCCTCACAGGCACGCTACAAACAAGTGTAAGTACTGCCAATTGTTTTAGCGTGATAAATGCATTTAAAAGCTTTCAATATTTTTGTCTGTTTACAGGCACGCTTCTTGAGGAATTTTGACAAGCTTGCCAGAATGGAAAAGTTGCAAAATGCTTAACTTCGGCTGAAGTTAATGCAAATTCTCAAGTAAGAAACCTGGGTATTCTTGGGGCAGTGAAAGAGGAAGGCAAAGGATGAACAAACCCAAATCGCTGCTCCTGACAAAGTGAGACTGGGCAAGAGCAGTGGCTGGTCACACACAGCCTGTGCTAGTACAAGGCACACCCCCAAAACTGCTTCCTCCAGACACCCCAGCAATCGCTAACGCAGCTTCCATGCAACTTACAGTATAGCACAACCAGACGTGAGTTAACTCTCCTGGTACTTCTGCAGGAACTAAAAAGGCTAGTGCCTCATCTGGGGCAATCAAAAGACTTGATGGTGGCACCACAAGCGGAACACCAAGGTTTCTCCCCATGCTGCGGCTAAACTAAAAGCCAGCCCTTCCTCTGCCACCTCCATCAGGGCCATCGGCCCTTGCAGTCCAGAGGCCAAAGAGGGCTGCTGCTCTTCAAGGTTTTGGCCATCCTAGAAGACACGTGATGCTATTTCCACCTTCAAACCTTCACTTTCACACACATCCCACAGCTCCCCAAAGCCATGTATCTCCATATACACTGTCTGAAAGACCACACCCATGTCATGTACCTAACGTAGGACTGGGACACTTAGAGAGTGCAAAACCAGGAATGGGAGTGTTTCTTCATACTGTATTAGCCCAATCCCTTTACCCTGAGGAAATAAAGCTCACAGATAATTTGCCCTCCAAAGAACTCTGCTCCACCCTAATCTGGGCAAGGGACTCTGGGATATAGTCTCTGCAAAACAGAATCCTGTGGAAAGAAGCTGAGAGACCTCCATACAGCAAGTCTTCCCCAAGGAGGGGCGGGAAAGGGCTGCTAAAGCAGATTCTGCTGCCCTTCCTCCATCTTGTGCACCTTACCACCATGGCACAACCTGTGCAGGCAAGGCCAAACTAGGGCAGAGTGAGCAGAGCAGGGAAACGCTTTGAGTGCAAATGAGGAAAACCACAATTTATATCCTAGGAAGTCAACAAGTATCCCACCAGAACAAGCAGGGGAATAGCACTGAAATTATGTAAGTGGCTCACATAAAAAAAGGTAATCTGCTAAAGAGTAAAATTATACAAGCAAGTAAGCACATAGTATAAAGAGCCTTTAATATTGATTCTCTTGCTCAATATTTCATGGAATTCACATCTTGCTCAACAGTGGTGAAACAAGAGAGAAAACGCTAAGTTTGGTCCAGCCCCGAAGTCTACAAGCTTAGACAAATAGCAGCATTGTCAGGTTTGGACTGATTTCATGTTTTAATAAAGACCCTGGTTGGTTTTAGCACTGTTCTCAGACACGTTTGGTGCTAGATCTGTACACAGAGGTGATACAGGCTTGGCATTGAGAGATGCCTGTAGGAATGAGATTCCCAGCAATGGAATATGAGTAGGTAACCCCTAGGAGCTGTGCTGAAGGTCTCACTTCATAAAAATGGAAAGAGGAAAGAGATCAAAGCTGTTACAGATACCTCACTGCATTGCAGAGAAAGGAACTGACATGGACATATGACCTTTAAAGAAATGCAACAGAATTGCACTAAAATTGATTTAGAACTCACCAAACATGTTACCGATGTGGCCATTCTTAGTCAGCGGTCGCAGTTCGTTTTTTCCAAGTGCATATTGTTTGTAGTTATCCCATGCGAATTTCATCATCTGTAAAAAGAAAAATTGAACGAAAGCGCTTAACGGAACTGAAAGTTTTCTGAATTTCAGCTCTGGGAGCAAATGGGAGTTTCCCATTCACTGCTAAATGTGGCAACCAGTGGTCCATTAACTATAAAATCTTAATTCACAAAGAACCCTTATGAATGGGGCTGCATTCGGCAGTTTGCAGAGTCTCAAACTCATTGCTCTTGGTGCAGAACTTGGGACTGGCACATTTCAGAAGTACCACAGTATCCAACACACTGAGAGTCCACTTTTCCCCTGGGCTGTGCAAACCAAGTGGGAATTTTAGAAAGATGCTTCCCTCTCTGAATCCCTCACCTTTTCTGAGGAGTATCAGTATTTCAGAATGGTAATTAAAATGAACTAAAAATGTAAGGCCAAAGTTGATATATCCCTAAGTACAGGGATGTTACCTTCTGAGTTTTCATATTTCTTGATGACAGCAATAATGAAACTTGATCAAACTGCTAAAGCATCTGCCCACCTTGCAGTGGTTACTCGTACAACTTTGGCGAAGCAGCACCACTGAGGTACAGAACGCACTTAATACTGTGCTGAGCAAAGGAAGAAACTGGTCTTTGAGGACTGCACAGAAGTTTTCTTTCTATTTATTAAGAGCATACCTTCATAAAGGAGAAAAGGGAGATCCATGACATTTTGATATCTTCCTATCAAAACTGAAAGTGCTTTCTTAAGAGAATCCTGCAGATGGGCTGAGTGATTTCTGAGAAACCCCTTCCAACTCAAACAATTCCTTTGGGGACATTTGAACTGTCCTGCCCGGGCTCAGCACATTAACCTTTCCCTGAAGACTGCAAGGCAATGGGTTTGTGCGAGTTCCAACACACACACACACACCAGCACAGCTTTTTTTCTGTCCTCCTGCCCCTTTGGCTCCAGCTGGTAGGAAAAATTAAACCTACAAGTATCCTCTCTGCAGCTAGGAGAGACTAGGACTTGTCAGCTTCTAAGGAGCGCCTTAAATAAAGCTCCCTTTTATAATCCATACAGCCTGGCTCTGAGCAGTTTCAGCCCCAGCATCGGAGTGACCTATACATTCTTTGATTCAATCCGTGGAAAAAAGTCAGATAACAAAGGGGAAGAAGGCGGCTTCAGAGAATCGACAATATTTTCCACCGCTGCTCAACAAAGGTAAGAGTCCTCTAAAATGCTTCACTCAAACAAGACATTTGAGAGAAAATGACAGTTTAAAACAAATCATTCCTCCACAGAGTGCCCCTGTCTAGCGTCTGCAACAGCATTTACTGCTCTATTTCAGGATCAGAATATGCAGGTTACTTTGGTATGAAATTCCTACTGTCATTTCAGTTCTTACTTTTGTCCTGCCTTCCAGCTGTGTGTTTCACAAACCCAACATTGCAAGCCCCTGGCAGTATCCTCCTTAATTAGCACACACACACACACAAAAAGCCACATCACCAGATTTCCACCCGCTCTACTTTTTTAAACACCAAGCTTCCAAAGTAAAGTTTCACAGAGCTGGTCATATGGATGAGGATAAACATTTGCTGAACTGATTGATAACATTCAGAGTCCAACACCGCCAGGCAAAAGAATGTTGGACAAACAAATAAAGTCAACTTGGGTTTTAAAAACTCAGTGTGGGATGAATTAGTCACTGGAGTACTCTGCTCCAAGGAAACTAAATGATGACCAGGGCGGGGAGGGGGAGAAACCCTCCACGGAATTCACTCAAACACACCTCAATCGTATGACTCAGGGTGTTCATTTTATTTTCGCTAGATCTCTGGAGTTTTTTTTCAGGGGCAGCATTATTCTAAATGGGAAGTTCTCATTCTTCATTAACATACCAGGGCAAATCTTTGAGGAAATCTGAACTCTCTCTGAGGGTACTGAGTGAATGCTTTTATGTCTCGGAGCTTGGTCCTGAAGTTTACTGCAGGAAAGATGGTGTTTCCACGAAGACAGCTTTCCCACAGCAAGCGAAAGGGCTTGTGCACCAGAAAGGAAACAGCTAGGCAATCTATTTGGTTCATTTCTCTTCTAAATCAGAGCTGAGGAAGGAGGACCCACCCTTCTGGCACACAGAGAGCCTGGACATGGAGAGGATGTGGAAATGACTCTATTTTGTTGCATAAAACTCCTAACGTTGTCATTCTGACTCAGCCTCATTTTAAGCTGAGTATGAAATTTAAAGTTATTTCCTTCCCTCAACTTTTTTAACCCCTCCATTCCAGAGGGCCCAAAGTTTCATCTTCAAAGCATGTGAGAAACCCAGGCACCTCTGCCACAGTGGCCCCGACGGCTCCCTGGGATCCAGAGTTTGCCGACACCTCCATCACAGGCAAGAAAACTACCATGGGTCTCTCTTCCGCAGCCGCTTATATCCCACAAGGGGAATCTCCTCCTCTCCTTCTGTCTTCTCACACGAGGAGGGACTGGGTGAGGCCTGCTGACCGACACCCCAAAGCGACTCGCTTCACACAGGACTCCCAAGTGCCATTTGAATAAATAAGTGTATTCTTAATTTGCCTATTCAACCATTTAAGCTGCATTTGTCACGGTGCTGCAAAAAGTTCCACTACAAAAATGATTTCTTGGGCTGTGCTGGCTGCAGTGTTTTAAACTCTCCTTCTCTGTTCTGTCCTGAGCTGATAATCAGGCAGGCAGAGGATGGATGAGATTGGATATGCTGCCTTGTCATACTAAAGGGTTGTCAGTTTTCCTCTACGTGAACAAAATTTTGCTCGATGCTTTCAAACCCTCTATATTCAAGAGGCAAGATGCATAATGCAGTACCCTTTCATTTTCCAAGATCAAGCTTTTCTCTCCTTAACGATAGGTCCAAAAGCAGCAACTGGAAAAGTTTAAAAGCCAAAAGCATCTGCGCCATTCTGCCCATTCTGGCTTTCTGCAGCTGTCTTTCCAATCCAAATTTAGCAGTACAACTTCCAAACCACCAAAGAGATTCATCAAGTTTCTAAAAGTGGGGACTCCACATTTATACGCTGTACGAAGGACTGAGATGGGGCTTTCAGGAGCTCTGTCTGACAGAGGTTCCAAACCCTGGGTTGAAACAGAAGGGGATGGAGCCGAGCGGTGCAAAATGGAAATTCACCTCGTGAGGTGTTTAAGTCCACTTTCTGATGAGACGCCAAGGTTAAAAGTGAATATTTTATGCTATTCTAGTCATGACAGATCACAATATGTCAGCATTAACATTATGCCATTTTGCATTTGAAAAATGGCACCAGAACCACAAAAATTATGGAAATAGATCCATAATTTTAGATTTTGTTCTTAACAGTGTGCCGTCTGCCATCTAATAGATAATTATCTATTTGGCCATGAAATTCTAATCACCCTGGCTTTCAGCTGATTTATAGCAGAGACTTCCAAATTTATAATCAAGTTTGTCAGACTGCTCTTTCTTTTCTATGATCTGTAAGTCACTTTTATACCTTCAAGAGTTTCAACTACCCAGCTAGACGATTATATGTTCAAATCAACGACAAGTAACTAAACTGACTTGTGAAACCCCGCACGATCACGTTCATCATTTAGGCCATTACCTTTTCTTGTGCTTTGCTCCATCCAACCCCCAAAAAAAGATCTTGCTCTCAAGCCCCCGTGTATTTCCTACGGGCAGCAGCCTGCAGCCACGCAGAGCCAGGCAGGGAGCACAAAGTCCTGCACCGAGCCGTGTGCTGGTTCGGGGCCTTTGTCTACAACTTTGCAGGTTCACAACACTGTAGTATTTAGATTGCACAAAACCACTGTGGAACAAGGTGGGTTAAAATTGTTTTCAGTGCATTTTTTTTTTGTTTAATGTATGGAAATATTTTTATTTAGAAGTCAGCTTTCTAAATACTCTCCTTTAAAATCCTGGGCCAAACACCGAGTGCGTGTGTCCCTTCAAACACTGCAGAAGGAAATCATAGAAGTATTTAATGTTTTCACGATACCCCAAACTTCTCCATCTGCTAAGCCTCACAAGCACACAACAGCACCCACACTGCTACCACAGCTCTGCTCATTCTCTCAAAAAAAAACAGGTCTTAACTCAGCAAGAATTCTTACGTTTTCTGAGATCAAATATGCCAAAGAGCACAATCAAACTCACTCCAGACTCAGTAAATAAAAACATCAACAAAGTTGGTAACACTCCCCCCCTCCGCACACACGACGTGCTACAGGAGGCCACCGCTGCTCCTCGGTCCAGCAGTGCTTCAAAGATGCCACCTGGGCTGTAACATGGGAGATATTGAACAGCTGCGATTTACAATTTCTGCCCACGTGCACGACAATCTCTGTTTCCAGAGCGCCACCACTTTACTGATCCACAGAGAACCTGAGGTTATGGAAACATCAGACTCCAGTGGAAAAGCAGTCAGGAAGAATTCAGAACAAAAAGGCACTTAGTGAGTTCTGGGATCCAAATAATGAAGAAACAGGGCTCAGGATAAAAACTTGACCAAGGAAGAGTTTTCACTCTGAAGAGATGTGCAAATCTGATGTTCTTTAATATATATGTAACAACTAAACCACTGAAAACCCCTGGGTTTATGCACTTGCAAAAAGCAGAGAGATGAGAGGAAAAAAGAAAAAAATCCCCCTATCACTTGCCCTCCTTTTGTTACCAGGGAACATTTCAAAATGCAGAGCGTTCCCAAACAGCTATTTGATTAGTTTTATCCATCTAGGCTGGGATAATTAGTAAATGCTTAAAAGATGAAATCTAAATATACCAACCAATCAGCCCCTTTCAAGAACTTCCAAGGAACATTACACAAAACCATTATCTTCACAAGATAACCGCTTTTGTGACTCTTTAGCCTCCCTTCTTCAACTCCCCTTCAAATATTTAACTATCAAGCTATCTAAGAAATTCCTGGTTTGGGTTTTCAAAAAAAAAAAACCAAACCAAAACCTAAACAAAAAACCACTTTTGGAGTTGGTGCTTGTCTGCATGGGCAGAAAAGCCCCGGGCTCCATGAACAGCG